TGGGTTTTCCTGGGATCTCAAGAGCGAATCTAATTCCTAAGAGATCAGTTCTAGGGTTTGCGCAGCGGATGCAAAAAAACAAAAATTTTGATGAAACCCTAAAACCTATCATGCATGATCTTGTAGAAACGTTAGAACGCTTACCTCAATCGATCCGGGGCCTGTATCAATCGAAGAACGCGTCTGATCACTGAAGGCATGAAGAATACCTTGCCCTCTACACGTATCCACACGGCGGAAAGGATTCCAACGGTTGGAACTTGTCTGCTAGGACTGAAGAACGCTTTCTTCTTTGCGCAAGGGTTTTAGGGATCTTTCTCTTAGTCTTTCCACTCTCCAAACCTCTTCCTAGGGTCTGAAAATCGTTCCAAAAGAGTTGAAAGGCGTGCCCCTAAGTTTATCCCACTTAAAACCCTAATTAGAGCGAGTTTGGAAAAACCCGACGTGTGGACCGATCGGTCCAGGCCTGGACCGATCGGTCTGGAGCTTTTTACGTCTAGACCGATCGGTCCGTAGGTCCGGACCGATCGGTCTGGAACACTTTCCAGACCGTGTGACTGTCACACGTTGTCTCCGGACCGACCGGTCCACGTGTCTGGACCGATCGGTCTGGGTTGGCTGGACCGGTCGGTCTGGCCTCTGCTCCACCGGGATTTTCTCGTCTCTTCTCGCGCATTCGTCCTTTCCTGTGTGTGTGACCCTGTAGGCTCATCCGATATAGCAGTATAACACGAAATTTCTTATTTCGGTTACACAAGTCATAGGCGGTCTCTAGCAAGACACTATGACTACCTATCTCGAATAGAGTTTATTCGTGATCCTACGAACGCCAGTGATTATTCCATTTGATGATCATTTTGTATCACGATATCATATGTCGAATATAAGGCATGGACAAGCCACCTTATCTGATTCGACTGCTTTCTCGTTCACTGAGTTCGACTGTCTGAAATAGACGACGTTCATCTATAGTGCGGTCACACATTTCTACAGTCTCGCTCACACGAGGGGTCCAGCGATATCTCTCTCTTTTACGAGAGGTAAAATCTCGTCTTGACTATCTACAATCCAGCACGTGATTCGTTTCGTACCTGATACACGCCTTTACAGTCCTCCTGTTACGCAGGACGTTTGACGTAATCAAAGTACGCAACTCCTCATGTTGGATTCCGTAGATATCTCAGGTCTTAGGATCCAATCATGGAACCGTCATATGAGATTCAAGTCATGACGCTAATCCATGTGACAATCTCATGCGGGTCAATCCAGTATTCCGTTCTCCAACGAATACCTATGATTGTGATCGTATCCAAATACCTATGATCATCTATATGATCATCAATCACACATCATACTAGTCTTATTATGTCATCATTCCCATAATGACACAAGACTAGGGAGTTAAGTATCATTCATAATGATACATGGATTTCATAACACATCTAGTATGCAAGAACATGTAATGAATCAAATACTCTCATAAACCATAGAAAGTATCAATACATCAAATGTATCTAAATAAAGCTCATAAACAGTACATCATAGAGCACTAAATCAACAGTCTGATGCTTCAACCAAGCATCTCTGACGGCTCTCGTGGCATTGGCCGCAGGGTCTGGTGGTAGCAGCCCATTCCAGGACGTACGACTTCTATCGTGCTTGAGAACAATTCTCAAGTTCCGATACCAGTCTAAGAAGTTCGTCCCGGTCAACTTATCCTTCTCAAGGATAGATTGCATCGTCAAACTCGGTACGCTACCGGTTGACGCCATGTCCTACAGAAAAAGACAAACAGAACGAACAAAAACAAATGCAGATTCTATCAATGATCTACTACCACCTAGTCCATCATCAATCAATGTCAACATATCCATGATCTACTACCAGCTAGTCCATCATCAACCAATGACAACATAGATGCAAACACAAGCTATATTCCCATAAAGAAAACTAACCCTACAATAATTTTCTATATGGGACTAAGATCCGTATTTCACATAAGACTGAATTGTTACACCCAGCCTTATGCTATTTAGGTAAATATCTAATGTCAATCATATCCAATATGACTCTTAGATCCTTTATGAGACTATGATATCAAATATCATTGCATACTTGTCTCATCTGTACCATTAAGTCTCAAGTCAAACCTGACGACTTAACCTAAGGTAAACCATATTCAAGCTGTGGAAACCACGATTTCCCACCCTGCCTCACAAAGATAATCCGGCACGCTCAGCTTTGGCATGACCCATGTTACGGATGATCGATGCCTTGACAGGCGCTCTAATAATGGGAGGTACACGCTTAACATTACATAAATAAGGGATTTTCGAAACCACACCTAGATCAAGCATCTACTTGCAATCAAGCATCTACTTGCAAGCTATGAGAACCACCATTTCTCCATCTTGCCTCACCAAGATAGCACGACACACCCAGCTTTGGCATGGCCCATGACACACCATCTACTTGCAAGTTATGAGAACCACCATTTCTCCATCTTGCCTCATCAAGATAGCACGGCACACCCAGCTTTGGCATGGCCCATGACATGTACGATCGAGGCCTTGACAAGTGCTTTACTCATAGAGCTCCTAGATCTAACCGGTTTCTTGTGCAACGATTGTACATAATCCGAATAGACCATCCATTCGATTATGTGATCCCAATCCCGAAGCTCCCACTCAATCAAGCATATCCAATATCTTGATTAAGTTACATGCATTCATTCACTATGGACCATCCATAAGGATAAATCATGTCTATTTGAGTCACAGTCAATCAGATTACGCAACAATTGCATAATCGGATTAGAAAACGGAAAAATCTCGGAGTCTGGGCCTCGGACCGTCCGTTCTGGAAGTAGAACGGACGGTCTAGCCTCGGAGAACAAGTGGAACGGACGGTCCATGACAGTAGAACGGACGGTCCACTCTCAGCCACGGAACGGACGGTCTAGTGAGCCAGAACGGACGGTCCGTATTAGACTATCTGGAACGGACGGTCCACACACTAAGACCGGACGGTCCAGACCTTTGGTCACCTCAGTCCGTCACCCCTGAACCGTCCGGTCTGGCATACCCAGAACAGATGGTCTAGGGTAGGTCTACGTGATCAGATCACGTTTTCCCGCGTTCTTGGCCCCGATCAGATCCGAAACTGATCCGAATTCACCTGTGGACCCAAAATTCGAACTCCTGCACTCTATGCAACATGAAACATGCAATCTACCATAGATTCAATCATCAAACATGCATAGACATCAAAGCAAACATGGATTCAAACAATTCAAATCCTAAAACGTGCGTGATCGGGTTCTACGAAATCAAAACAGAGCAACCAGGCTCTAAAACCACTGTTGGGATTCCTGGAATCTCTAGAGTGAATCCTATTCCTAAGAGATCGATTCTAGGGTTTGCGTAGCGGATGTAAAACAAAAATTATTAAAATCCTAGAACCATGCTGCTATGAATCGTAGAAACGTTAGAACGCTTACCTCAATCGATCCGGGGCCTGTATCAACTGAAGAATTCGTCCGATCACGAAAGGGAGGAAGATTACCTCGCCCTCTACATGTATCCACACCTCGGGATGGATTCCAACGGTTGGAACTTGTCTGCTCGCACTTCGAAAAAACGAGACTTAGAATTCCTTGAACTCTTTGGATCTCACAAAAATCTCTTGGAATTCTGCCAAAGACGGCTAAAAAAATCTCTTGGTTAATTAGGGTTTTAATCTCCTATAAGGTGATTTAACCCTAATTCGGTCTAATTTTCGAAAAACCCGAAAGCCGGATGCTTAAATCAATTATGATTAGTTTCTTCCTTTCTCATCCGTCTTTTGTCCTTTTATTGATTCCAAATCTTTCTTCAGGCTGTCTTGCAACTTGTGCTTCGTCTTGGACAGCACGGCTTTCTGAATCCTTCCCGAACATTTGAAGATGATTTCAGAAACTTCTACAGCAAATCTGGGGAGGAAGGTGCAATTCAAGCAGCTAGAAATTTATGGTCGATATTGGCATTGAATTTGAAACCGCAAATATTATACTTACGTTTTTTGTTTTCTGTTTACAGGGGAGGCAATTTATGGGCCTTTTGTCGCTCTACCAAGGGAAGTCCAAGAATTATCCCTCTGTTGCGTCTACTATTTCAACAATGTCAGCTCTTCTCTGTTGACATCAATTGTTTCCTGTTGCCTGTGTGAATATCACATTTCCCTGCTTGAAGATCTAGTAAGATTTTCTATTTCCATTTGGAATCCTTTTTTCCGAGTTTTAATTTTGAAGTGTCTTCTCTTGATGGTTGAATAGGCTAATTCTTCAAGTTCTTTACAATCCTTCTTACCGTATATTGCAGATCCTTGTCTTGAACCATCTGTGTTGTATCGGATAGTGGAAGTTCTGCATTCCGCTTTTAGAGTTGGATATATAGAGATTAAGATCATATCAGCTTCCTCATCACCCGAGAACGACGGCTGTATAAACGCAGTTCTGCTTGTGTGAGTAAAACCGAAAAGAGCGAGACGTTATCTCCAAACCACTACCGAGTTTTGCATTTTCCTGCATCAATTTTGTTTTGTTACAACAGATAGCTTATACTTTTCTGAAGTGAATCTTGTTGTCACCATAGTTGATGACAAACAGATCTCACGTCCCAACTTAGCTGTTATAAAATGTTTTTGTCAAATAGTGTTTTGCTTTGTGTTTTTCATGTCGCGACAATCGTCATACCTAGCCTTTTCAGCAAGACTGTGAAATGTATAACGTCTCTAACATTAGGGGTGGGTACGAATGCTGCCCATAAATTGGGTATTTGAATATTCATCCATCGGTAAGACATGATGTTGTCGATGACGAGAACCCGATCGTTGGGATAGTTGATGACAAGTGGTATACAATGATTATACCAATACAATGATTTAACTTGGTATACGGTTTAACGGGAGTACTATTATTCGACATGGACCGGGAACTATTATTCAACAGTTTCAATAGAAGTGTATCGCCATCATAACACCGACAGTTTCAAAATTCAATGGCGTGTGTCAGAACATCAAACAACATTGAAGATGATAGATAGAAAGTGGCCAGACCACAGAAACGGCTTCTAGGCAGCTGACTTGTCTGCTTGGGGTTTACTGTCTGCCATATGAGGATCAATCACTTCTACAAGCCCCTTCGAAGAACGACTTCTCGTGAGATCTTCCACCGTGATCTTCACCGCATCCCTTCTGTTTATGATATCAGCAGCATATCTATTCATACAATGCGTGCGGACCACAGTCACAGCCGTTGCATAGATGTTCTTGGTCACCGCCAGATCGATAAGGATGTTAAACACAGACTCGAGCTGCCCGCCTCTCGCCACCGCTGCCTGACCACTCAGCCCCGTTGCTCCTTGTTCAACAACAACAACCACCAGCCCTGTCTTGCAATAAATCGCGAAATCCTCACAGTTGTTTTTGAGAAGGTCGTAGACTCCAAACCCCTTTTCGAGAAGTTTTTGGGCTCGGCTGATGACCATGTCACCTGGGTCCGAGGCAGCGAGGGTGCAGGTTCCACTACGGAACTTTACAAGGAAGTAGGAACGGCTGACCGAGTATTCAAAACGATACAAGGTCCCGCCGGCTAGAAAGCAGTCGAGGCATGATGAGATGACGCCATGGCCGTCGATTGGCAGCAGGCTGCACGTCGGACAAAATGCTTGGTGTCGAACAGTCATCGAGCTTGCGAGCAGGCGATCTAGCGCAGTCCCCAAGCTAACTTCTTGGCCATTTCGGGTGAAATGAATGACCGTGTTGTCTCCAACATAGATTCCTGAAAGATTTATTAGAGGAGAAAGAACCAGTTTCTTAGCTGATGCTGACATGGACGAGTTAGTTATGGGTTTGTTACAGAGTCGGGTTGTATAAGAGCAGCTGTATTTCATATTTTGAAAATTAACGAGAAAATTTCCACAAGCTTTCTCTCTCTTCCTCTCATCTCTCTCTCCATTCTCTCCCAGATTCCGTCACTTTCTTCCCCTGATTTTGCATTGCAGAATCAGATCCACAAGTTCCTGAAATGGTATCAGAGCCAACATAGGATCTATACCTGGTATTATTTCACCGTTTATTCTTCATCTTCAATTTTTTTTTGAACAATGAGTTCTTCTCAAAGTTCGTCTTCGATAGCAAATGATTCTTATGATAATCGATATTATCTTGGCAACAATGATCATACCAATTTGAATCTTGTTTCTCATCGTCTAATTACTCCGGCACACTATAATTCCTGGCATCGAGCTGTTATGATGGCTTTGGAAGGTCGCAACAAGCTCTGTTTCATTGATGGGAGTTTGCCGAGACCTGATAAGGATGATCCAGAATATACTCTGTGGTCAAGAAATAATGTTGTAATCAGTTCATGGATTCTGAATTCTGTTTCAGAAGACATTGCAGAGAGCCTTATGCATATCCGATCTGCTCAAGAAATATGGGAGATCCTTATGCGACGTTTTCAACAGAACAATGCTCCTAGACGATATTCCATCAAACAGAAGATGCACACGCTGAAACAAGGTTCAATGACGGTAACGGCTTTCTTTACAAAATTGTCTGCAATTTGGGAAGAGATGAAGTCTATTCAAGCTACTCCGTTTTGTCATTGTGGTTCTTGCTCGTGTCATGTTGATAAACGTTGGATGGACTATTTTGAAAGCAATTTTGTAATTGACTTTCTTTATGGATTGAATGATTCTTATGAGAACATTCGCAGTCAAATTATCATGATAGATCCATTGCCAGATCTTCAGAAGACATTCAACTTGGTGATTCAACATGAGCATCAACGTTTGATCAAATCACCTGTGAATACAGATAATGTTGTATTTCAAGCTTCATCTCTTCCGCAGTCCAGTTTGTCTGTAGAATCTGTAGCTGCTATCTCTGGTTCAGGTTTTAAACCAAAGCCAAAGCCACTATGTACACACTGTGGTGTTTATGGACACACTGTCCAGAAGTGTTACAAGTTACATGGTTATCCACCTGGATATAAGCCAAGGAATTCTCAGTCTCAATCTCAGCCATACAGGAACAATTCTCAGTATCCTCCAGTAGGCGATCCACAAAATCAACTTCAGCAGTACAGATCTTATTCTCACCCTCCACAACAAGCTTACAAACCATCTATTAATTCTGGAAGAATGGTGGCTGCTGTTGCTCATGATTCAGGTGATGTTACTAAATCTGTTTTACCAGATTTCAGGTCATTCTCTCCAGATCAGTTGCATCAGTTGTATGCTCAGATTGGGACTCAGTTGCATGTTAATGAGCCTAAAATCACTGCACATGGAGCTTTGGAAAATCAACCTACACATTCTGGTATTTCTCATGCTCTATCTGTGTTTTCGTCACAAGTTGTTCTATCGACTGTATTACCAGAGGATTTGTGGATTGTAGATTCAGGAGCTTCTGTGCATGTTTGTTCGAATAAGTCATGTATCACAGATCTTAAAACTATTCCAGCAACTCAGGTCACATTACCTAATGGCCAGCATATACTCATTGAGAATTCGGGCACTGTTTTTCTTACAGAACACATTGTCTTACATGATGTTCTGTTTATCCCTTCATTCTCTTTCAATCTTTTAAGCATCAATTCTTTACTACGATCTTCTCCTTCCTTTTCTTTGACCTTTAACTCCTCTTCTTGCTTAATCCAGGACCTTTCTCAGGGCTGGACGATTGGACGTGCTAATCTCCAGCAAAATCTATATGTCCTGGATCTTTCTTTTCAACCTATTCATAATCTTTTCTTCTGTAATTCCGCAATTGTTTCTTCAGTACTTTGGCACAATAGACTTGGTCATCCATCTTTACCTAGAATAAAACTTCTAGCTGATGCCTTAGACATTCATAAATGTACAGATTTACCTCATTGTAATGTCTGTCATTTATCAAAGCAACGCAAACTTCCTTTTGTTTCTAATCATAACCTTGCTTCCAATTCCTTTGATCTCTTACATATGGATGTTTGGGGTCCTTTCCCTGTTGCTTCTGTCGATGGACATCAGTTCTTTTTAACCATTGTTGATGACTTTTCCCGAGTCACATGGGTGTATATGCTGCGTCATAAGAGTGATGTACAGATTATTTTCCCTGAGTTTGCTGCTTTAGTGGAAAGACAGTTTAATACTACGATCAAGGCTATTCGTACAGATAACGCACATGAGCTTCGGTTTTCTGCTTTCTGTAAAACCAAAGGTATCAAGCACTTCTTCTCTTGTGCTTACACTCCGCAACAAAATTCAGTAGTGGAGAGGAAGCATCAACATATCTTGAATGTAGCTCGTGCTTTGTTGTATCAGTCTAATCTGCCTCTGGAGTATTGGTCAGACTGTATTCAGACAGCAGTGTATTTGATTAACAGGATTCCATCTCCGATTTTGCAGAATAAGTCACCTTATGAAAGACTGATGAACAAGGTACCTGTTTATACGCATTTGAGGGCATTTGGCTGTCAGTGCTATGCTTCTACCTATGCTCATGAGAGACATAAGTTCTCTCCGCGTGCCAGACGTTGTGTATTCATTGGATACCCAGATGGATACAAAGGGTATAAATTGTTGGACTTGGAAACCAACAGAATTTACATAACACGAAATGTGGAGTTTCAGGAGGAGATTTACCCTTTTCTTTCAGATACCCATTCAACAGATTCTCTTCTGGAATCTGTCACTACCATATTTCCCCACACTATTTTACCTCTTCCTATTTCTCTAGATTGTAATGATGTTTCTCGGTCATCACAATCAGAGATTACACATCAAAATTCTCCTGAAATTCCACCCCCTGTTTCTAATGCTCAGACTCAGAGACCACGTCGATTGGCTCATCCTCCTTCGTATTTGAGGGATTATCACTGCTATGCTATTCAGAACAAAGAACCTAGCCCAAATTTGTCTTCTAAATATCCTCTGTCTTCATATCTCTCATATGATAGACTTTCATCCTCTTTTAAAGCTTTCACCTTAAACATTTCTTCTGAAACAGAGCCTAAAACTTTTAAGCAAGCAGTGAATTCTGAGCATTGGCGTCAAGCAATGGATGTTGAATTGCAAGCTTTGCTTGATAATGGCACTTGGTCTGTGGTTTCGTTACCTTCTGAGAAGCGTGCAGTGGGATGTAAATGGGTATATAAAATCAAGAGGAAATCTGATGGAACCATTGACAGATACAAAGCAAGGTTAGTTGCTAAGGGGTTTACTCAACAGGAAGGTGTTGATTTTATTGATACTTTCTCTCCTGTGGCTAAGCTAGTCACGGTTAAGCTTTTGTTAGCCCTTGCAGCAACTCAAAATTGGTCTCTTACTCAAATGGATGTCACCAATGCGTTTCTCCATGGTGACCTTGATGAGGAGATTTTCATGAGCTTGCCGCCAGGTTATACAGCCCCTGTAGGTACTTCTTTACCTCCAAATGCTGTTTGCAAGCTTCATAAATCTCTTTATGGGCTGCGTCAAGCATCTAGACAATGGTATAAGAAATTCAGTGATGTTTTGATGAGTTCAGGCTATCGTCAATCTCAAGCAGACAATACTTTATTTGTCAGGAAATCTGGTTCTTCATTTGTTGGATTGTTGGTTTATGTCGATGACATTATCATTGCTTCAAATGATGATAAGGCTGTCGAAGAGCTGAAATTTCTGTTACGATTACATTTTAATATCAAGGATCTTGGTCCTCTCAAGTTTTTCCTTGGTTTGGAGATTGCCAGATCTGAGTCTGGAATTTCGATTTCACAGAGGAAATATTGTTTGGAGCTTTTGGAAGATGCTGGTTTGTTGGGTTGTAAGCCAGTTTCAGTTCCTATTGATCCTAATGTTCATCTTAGTCAAGATTCTGGTTCGTTTCTGGAAGATTTCACCAGTTACAGGGCCTTGGTTGGCAGATTACTTTATCTGACCATAACGCGACCTGACATTACATATGCTGTACATAAATTGACTCAATTTATGTCTCGCCCGACTGATTTACACATGAAGGCTGCTCAACGGGTTGTTCGTTATCTTAAAAACAACCCAGGACAGGGTTTGTTTTACTCTGTTACTTCGGAATTGCATCTTAATGCGTTTGCTGATGCTGACTGGGCGAGTTGCAGGGATTCTCGACGTTCTGTAACGGGCTTCTGTATATTCTTGGGCGATTCTCTGATTTCCTGGAAAGCTAAGAAGCAAAATGTGGTTTCGCGAAGTAGTACCGAGGCTGAGTATCGATCGATGGCTAATACTACCTGTGAGTTGATCTGGATTAGTCATCTGCTTCAGGATTTTCAGGTTCGGCTTTCTCGACCTGCAAATCTGTACTGCGATAACCAATCTGCTTTATACTTAGCTTCAAATCAAGCTCTACATGAACGCACAAAACATATAGAGCTTGATTGTCATTTGGTGCGTGATAAGCTGCGAGAAGGGTTTATCAAAACTCTTCATGTACGGACAGAGAATCAGCTGGCGGATTTATTTACCAAAGCTTTACAACCTGTTGTGTTTGTTCGGTTGTTGCAGAAACTAAATCTTTCAAGTCTATACCTTCCTTCCTCAGGTTATAGACTTGAGGAGGGCGTATTAGAGGAGAAAGAACCAGTTTCTTAGCTGATGCTGACATGGACGAGTTAGTTATGGGTTTGTTACAGAGTCGGGTTGTATAAGAGCAGCTGTATTTCATATTTTGAAAATTAACGAGAAAATTTCCACAAGCTTTCTCTCTCTTCCTCTCATCTCTCTCTCCATTCTCTCCCAGATTCCGTCACTTTCTTCCCCTGATTTTGCATTGCAGAATCAGATCCACAAGTTCCTGAAAAGATTGAGCAAGCAAATCCGGTCACTGTTCTGTCCTATCAACCATGGATAAGTTCCTCGTTTCTGAGATTCTAAGCTCAGGTAGAAACATGGAATAAAAAATAAATAAAGTGTTTTAATCAACGATTCACAGGTTACCAAATTCGAGTAGGGTGAATCTCCAATAAGTAAATCCCAGATCAGACCAGAAAATACATTCTGCTTGGACAAAATTCAACTAGATTCTACCAAACATTCTAGCCAAAGAACACGCAAGAACCCTAACTACATGATTATCTGAACTATGCCCGTATGTTCGGAATCATACTCACCCAGAGTCAGGCCAGGAAAATCACCTAGGGAGGGATAGTTATCACCAAGAAAGATCGATATAAAATTGAACTCGGGAAAATCAGTATCTATAAAGGAACAATCTTGTTATTGCCATAAGCTAAGAGGGCAGATATCAGATTGCTGGCAGCAACAAAGACCTTAAGTTCATATGTTTCTGAATCTCTTCTCAGACAAAAAGAACTATAAACTCACATAACCAGCAATATCTGACCCCTTTTGTCAAAATTTTGGTTTCGTTTCGTCCTAAGAAACCGAAACTTGTAATAGGACAGACTAGTAAACCCATCAAACAGATGATTCAGTCTCGCTACTTGCAAGTGAGATGGATTGACAACGTTTCACACTCCCGTTTCACTGATGATATGCAGACGCGATCTCACTCATGAAGTTTATGCCCTAATCCGTCAACCGAAATTCCCAGAAACCCTTCAACTCTCGCGATCCGATCATAAGCCTAGATCGATCACAACACAAACACCAAAACTTGACATCTATCACGCGATTTTCAGTGAAAACAGCAAAAGGGTCTAAGAAAGATTGAACATTGGAAAGGGGGAAAGGAGCAGAAGAAAGAATCGGAGAAGAGTGAAGACCGTGATGGGCGTAGATGTAAGCAGCTCTCCACGAGTAGATATGATCCCCGGGTTTCAGACTCGCCTCATCGATCCTTCCAAAAAAAAAGCATTACAGAAGAATTGCAAAACAAGAAATCGAAAACCCAGAAGAATTACAGAAGGCAAAGACGGGAAAACCTGTTGGAGAACAGACCCATCCCTCTCTCTTTCTCGCGCTGACTCCGTCTTCAGATCTTTCACAGAGAGGAAAGGTTGCATGAGACAGTTGCGTGTTTTTAGGACAAAGTTGGAAAAAAAAAACATCAATAAATTACTCAAAAAATAATTTGTTATAAAAATGTATCGATTAATGATGACCAATTTACTTCTACACTAAGTTTATTATAAAAATACAATTAACTTTTAATTAAAAAATGTTATAATTTTTTTATTTTACTTTAATGAAAAGATTTGCATATCATTGGCGGGAAGGAAAGATCGCGGGAGACAAAGTTGCGTGTAGTGCGCAAAGCATCAAATTCTTTTTAGCTTTGCAAGTTATTGTCAGGAAAAAATTCTCCAAAATACTCTTCAATTTTATCCGATAATATCTTGAATACCTAACTATATAATATAATCTTTCTCGTTAGTGACTGAAAAAATAACCCCTCATTTAACCAAAAAAAATAACCCCTCATCTTCTATATCCCAATAACCTAATTATATTATATCTCGTTGTTGTATCTTAATTATATCTCATTGTTTTCCCTTATTTATTTCTCTCTTCTATCCTTAAAGTTTATAAAGTTTGGAAGAAAAGTTAGGTATTGGTGGAGCTTGCATAATGTAGTTGTAGTTAAGGTTGAGTTTAGGATTTAGGGTTTAATCCCATTACATTACAGTTTACACCATAATCTCTTCGATTACTCCTTTTTGTAAATTTATTTTTTTATGAATTTTTCTAAAAAAATATCGAATTTTCGAATCGACCCAAAAACCTATTTAAAACAAACCCAAAAACCCAAATTTTTTCTAGCAAAAAAAAAAAAGACTCGAAACCCAACATTTTTTGGGTGGATTCAAACCGAGTTTCAGGATTCAGACCTAAATTGATGTCTCTAGTTCGTGATATTTTATAAAAAAAATATTTGTTATCAAAAAGTGTTCCCATAACTAGGGATGTCAATTAAACCGGAAACCCAAGACCCAGCATGAGCCCACCCAAAAATTGAAACTTAGCATAAAACTTTCTTAGGGTTTGTATTCTCATTGATTCCCAATATATACACCACAATGATGATATGGCAAGAGATACATATAAGGCAACATAATATTATATTACATGATTTCCTCTAGCAAATCATAATGTCCGCTATCATACCCCCGCAGTCGGAGCAGGAGGGTGATGAACGCTCAGAATGGAGCGAAACTCCATGAAAAGAGACGTTGGCAGTCCTTTGGTGAAAATGTCGGCAAATTGTGAAAGGAACATGAAGTACACGGGCTTGACCTAGGGCAACCTTCTCACGGACAAAGTGGATATCAATCTCCACGTGTTTCGTCCTTTGATGTTGGACCAGATTGGCGGGCATATATGCATCACTAATATTGTCGCAGAACACCATTGTGGAGTGTGTGAGTGGACATCAGAGTTCAAGTAAGAGATTGCATAGCTAACAAGTTTCAGCCACTGCATTGGCTACTCCGTGGTATTCAGCTTCGGCACTCGAGCGGAAAGTTGTTCATTGACGCTTAGAGGACCATGATACCAAGTTGTCTCCGAGAAAGATGCAATAACTCGACGTAGAACGGCATGTGTTGAGACACCCTATCCAATCTGCATCTGAGTAAGCGGTTAGACGAGATAGTGAAGAGTGATTGAGTTGAAGGCCATACGAGAGTGTTCCTTGGACATAACATAGAATACGTTTGAAAGCAAGAAAATGTGGTTCCCGCGGATCATGCATGAATAAGCAAATATGTTATACGACATAGGATATTATATGGCCTTGTAAAGGTAAGATATTGTAGTGCACCGGCAAGACTTCGATATAGTGTAGGGTCAGAAACTGGGCTTCCGACTTCGGCGAACAATTTAGATTTTGTATTTGCAGGTGTAAGACATGGGTTACAGGTCTCTATATTCACACGGTGAAGGATATCTCTGGCATATTGAGATTGACAAAGGAATAAGCCTTCCTTGTTGGTGGTTGCTTGTACTCCAAGAAACTAATGTAGGAGGTCGAGATTAGTCATAGCAAATTCCCGATGCATGGACTGAATTATCTCATGAAATGTTGCATCCGACGAGACTGTGAGAACGATGTCGTTGACATATAGGAGGAGAAAAGCCATACTCTTGTCCTTGTGTAATATGAACAGAGAAGGATCCGATTTGTTATTCACAAAGCCAATCTTGGTAGCAAAGTCGGTGAAACATTGAAACTAAGGTAGTGGAACTTATTTTAACCCATAGAGTGATTTGCGTAATACGCAAACATGGTCTGGCTTCTCCTTGTCCGTGAACCCCGATGGTTGATGCATATAAACAGTTTCGGTAATGGTTCCGTGCAAGAATGCATTCTTGACGTCAAGTTGATGAATTGACAATTGGCGAGACAAGGCATAGCTCAAGACTACCAAAATAGTGGCCGGCTTCACTACTGGACTGAATGTATCTACATAATCAATGTCGGTTTGTTGTGATTTCCCATTAGCCACAGTCTTGCTTTGTATAGAACATGAGTGTCATCTGCATGAAATTTGTGCCTAAAAATCACATAGAACGAACCACGTTAACGCATTTGGGTCGGAGAACCAAGTCCCACGTCCCATTTTTAATAAGAGCATTAAAATCCTCAGACATTGCCCCTCGGCAATGATGGTTCTTCAGCGCGAAAAGATGAGATTTAGTAGAGGAGATATTTGGTCCGTTAGAATGGAAAATACTTGTTTTCGTTTGGTGATGTCGGATTTGCTTCGAGTCGTCATCGAGTGGGATGTAGATGATGATGAAGGGATCGGATGGGTAGATGGTATGGTCGGTATTTCGGGTACAATGGGTAAGGTGATTTAGGTAGTTGATGGTATTTCGGGCACAGTTGGCAAGGGGACTATGAGAGATGGCATTGTCGATGAGTCAATGAGCAATTGTCGGAGAGTTCGAAGAAGTGGATTTTCATATGTATCAATATCAAGGAATTGATAGGATGGTGGAATGGGATGTTGAACATGTGAGAATGGAAAAATATTCTCATCGAAGTATACATGGCGAGAGATGATAATTTTTCGAGTTTTGAGATCAAAACATCGATAGACACGATGATTAGAGGGATATCCAAGGAAGACACATGATGTGTGTGATATCCGTAACCCGTATACAATATACAGGATGTGTCACATGGACAAATACAATAATTATAAAATAATAAAGAACAAAAGCAAAAATACGAAATCCAAAAATATTTTTTATCAAACTAGAATAAGCAACGGAAAATATATCATGCGATCAACGTCGCAAAACAACGCATGTCCGAATATCAAATAGTACAACCGTATAAAAGGTGGGAATACAAGTCCCGTAGTCCAAAATACAAATCTCGTACATGATGCTGCCTCTCTCGGGGTCGTCGTCATCCGAGTTACTCTAGACATACTCCTCGTGATCTGAAAATGAAAAAACCACGAGGACTAAGCATAACTGCTTAGTGAGTAGTCCGGGTTGAACCCGGTAATCTCATTCCCAGTGAGAACGGTGTTAAACGATGAATCACAATCGACATAAAACAATAATAATCATGCATAATCACATCACATCAGTCACATATATGGCAATCACAATCATACCCATATGACGTCGCATCATAATGTTGGCCATAGGCCCTAGCCAAATCAGATCGGGTCCGCTACTGGCGCTGTTCTACCTCTGAACTCGAACCCTCCGAAATCGTCCGTAAACCAGATCGTCATCTGGGAACAATCGATGTATGTCTGGTACTTCATCAACCAATCCATGCCCAATATGATGTCGAATCCTCAGATGGACACCACAATAAGATCTACGGCTAATAAGCGACCGTAAACCTCAAGGGGTATGCCTTGCAGGATCTCGTGCACTACTAACGTCTCTCCAGAAGGTATGCGCACGGTGAAATCACTCCTCAGCTCGATCTCTACTGTCTCAAGCCGCCCCGCCACTCTCGTACTCAAGAAGCTATGTGTTATCCCGGTATCAAACAACGTATAAAAGGCAATTCCATGGAGATATATGGTACCTGCGATTGCGGCGGCCACGCCTCCATCAGGGTGACCTCCACCTCCTCCTCCTCCTGGATCTCCTGCTCGGCACCGAGAGATAAACTCTCGGGACTGCTCCAGTCTTCGCTAGTGGTCGGGGTGGTCTGTCTGGCCCGATGGTCGCATTGGTCTAGCTGCTAGGGTGGTGGTCCTGTGATCCTCGTCAGACATCGTGATGCAATGTGTCCTGACTGATCGCACCGATAACAGACCAGCGATCCCCTCACGGCCGGTGGTAGTGGCGCACGAACGACGGGCGCCTTGTCGTTGTCGTGTGGATCACTGCTCCGAACGTTCTTCCTAGATGAGCATGTACTGAAGAACTTCCTGAATGGGCTCCACTCATGGGTCTTCCCCTTCTTCTTCTCCTGCTCTCCACGCTCCACCTTCTCCAGTTGAGAAATGTACCAACTCAGCATTGGGTAATCCTGGATCTCGATCTTCCTCTACAGGTAGGGTCGGAGTCCAGCAATGAACTTCTGGATCTTCGATGTCTGGGTGGGCACTGTTGGGTTTCGCTACGGATTCCTAGCATGCGATCATATCGATCTAGGGTTTGGTTTACTAGGTTTCATGCAGCGGAAGGATAATCTAAATCTAGTCAAACGTCACACGCAACCAAACTCATCCGTAAAACCCCGTATAATCGTGTATATCACCGTGGAAATCGAATACTTACCTCTTTCCTGAAGAAACGGAAGTATGAGTCGATCCGGGGCCTGTTAATCACCTAGGACTGAAGTTACAGTCCCTCTACACGTATCCACACCGATGGGAGGGATTCCAAACGCTTTTGGAACCGATCTGCTAGGATCTGTGAAGTATGTGAAGTGAGATCTAATCCCGGGAGTTAAAACTATGAAAGAAACGATTTCTTCTGAGTTTTT